GCTATATGTATTCACAGACAGATATCAAATGATGTTCCTCGAATGTTAATGCTGCTCCGGGGTGGTGGGATGGCAACTCATTTTTTTTTTCTTCTCTGTACTTGGTTGCGTTGCTTAATCTGTTGTTGCTGCTGCTGTTGCTGCAAAAGACATGGGTCATGGACATTCTAACAAAGAAGCAGAAAAGATGGTGTTGGCGGTTACAGGCACGCACCGCCTGTTGATGGTTCGTCAGGAACGAAGCACACCTGCACCAGAAGGACTGGCTTCCATTCTAAAGGAAGTGGGAGGCCACCAGGAGGTTTTGAGCAAAGAAGGGGCATGATCTGATACCAATGTAGGAAAAGAGAAAGAAATCTAAAAATGAGTAGCCATGAAGAGATAACAAGCTGCACATAAGGGAGGAAGATCTGGCTAGCTTGAGATTTTTCCCATGGAGCTCGCAGTGGCAGCAAACAGAGAAGCAAGATCTTCAGGGCTCAGAGGGGAAAGAACGTCTTATTTATTTTTTTTTAATAATTTACTTATTTAATTTTATTTATTAATTTGACGAGAGAGAGAGAGATACGGGCAAGGGGAGGGAAAGTGAGAAAGCAAGCCACCAGGTCCAGGTCTAGAACCGCGGTCAGCCATGTGAGAGTGTCCAGTGCCTTCACCACCACGCCGCCTGCTGGTCCCCAAGAATGTTTTCTTTTAAAAGAATCACTGTGGCTGCAGTATGAATAGAAAATATGAATATGTAGTCTATAATTCCTATAATGGGACCAGGGCAGACACTGGGAAATAATTAGAAACTATTTTGAAAGTCTAAGTGAGCCAGGGCTGGCAGGTTGAGCAATGGTTAAGGTGCTGGATTTCCACATAGCTGACCACAGTTTGAATCCTGGATCTTGCGGCTTGTTTGCTCACTTTCTCTCTCTCTCTCTCTCTCTCTCTCTCTCTCTGGTCATATTAGTAATAATAACAAATAAAATAAAAAAAAAATAATTCTTTCAAAACAAAACAAAGTCTAAGTGAGAGATGACCGTGATTCTGATCAATATGGTAGTAGTGGGGAGAAAGGATTGATCCTGGATGCTTTTGAAGGTGGAGCTGGCAGGATTTGAAAACAGACTGAGATGGGAGACAGAGAGGAGCAAAGGATGGCCGCAGATGTCCATGCGAGCAACCAGGAGAGCTGAGCTGCCAGTCAGCCAGAGGGAGAAGAGCAGGTTGAGGGCAGAGAGGGACCATCAGACTTTGTGTTTGGACCCGTGACGTTGGAGATCCTGTCAGACAGATCCTCTTCTATTCTCACTCCACGCTCTGCTCCTTGGCAGGCTCATCCATGTCAACACTTCGGCTCCCACCCACATGTTTCTGACTCCTGACCCAGCCTTCCCCTCTGAACTCTAGATGCAGTACTAGTACTCAGCTACTCTTTTCTAAAAAAGAATTATTTATTCAATTTTATTCATTATCATTTTTTTTTTTAATTTGCTACAGGGCAGGTGTGCTCAACAGAGACAGAGTGAGAAAGAGAGAAAGAGAAAGAGCAAAAGCAAACCACCAGATCTGGGACTCGAACTGCAGTCAGCCATGTGGGAGTCCAGTGCCCTAACCACCACGCCACCTGCTCACTTTTTTGACATGACCACACAACTAACTCAAAGGGAGATATAAAACTAAAGATAAATTTATTTATTTATGTTTAGCTTTTTTATTTATTTATTTACTTTAATTTGACCAGAGAGGGACAGCAAGAGAGAGAGAAGGTGAGTAAGCAAGTCACCAGGTCCAGGACCGTGGTCGGCCATGTAGGAGTCCAGTGCCATCCTTCCTGGGGAGTGATTTTTCACTTTCCCTCGCTCTCTATCTCTGTCTCTAACAAGCACCTGGGATTCAAACTTTGATCAATCATGTGGGTTCCAACTACCTCTACTACTAAACTACAAGGCAGGACCTCGGTTTGTAATCATCCACTTGCTTATGTTATCGTGTGGCTATTTGTTATCTTTTCCTTCTAAACTGCAAGCAAGCCTCATAAAATCAGAAAAACACAGTTGTTCTCGTTTTTGTTGAATGAGTGAATGAATGAATTCATGAATCTGTAGCAGAAGCAACCGCAGCCCACATGCAGGGTCTATATGGGGTACTTTGGTCCACCGTAGTTTTAGGTGTCAAGACTAGGACCTCAGGCTAGCAGGCAGCATGGTGGTTGAAGTGCTGGATTCCCACGTGGACAACTGAGGTTTGAATCCTGGACCCAGCGGCTTGAAAATCATGCCAGGTGTATGTGCATGTTTGCCCAAAGTCCCCAGAGGAGAATGGAGGAGAGGGGATTGAAGTGTGGCCATCTCCCCCAGAGAGAGGATGATTTCTCATTTTCCCTCTTTCTGGCGAGCTCACACGCCCTATGGCAAAAACCTTAATAAATAAATAAATAAATAAAGAGGACCTCTGCCCTTCGGGTAGTCCACATAGAGTTCCAGAAAGATAGAGTATGAGCTACAAATCTTCCTGTCACCAGAGTGTGTCCACGTATGTCTTGTCACCTCTCTGAGGCTCACTGTCTTCATCTGTAAAATGTAGATCATGATTCCTATTTCAGGGCATTGCCAGAAGGCTCAAATGGGTCTTGGATATAAAAGAGGGCTTTTTTTAAACGTTTAACATAGGGCAAGTAAAACGTATGATTTAGTTTTTCGAAAAGAACTTTACTAGGAATCTAAATGGAAAGCAAAAGAGAGCATATAGGAAGCACCGAAGCTGACGCAGGTGGGTTTAGGCTCCTTGCCCTGCTGTGACAACACAAGCCAGGTTCTTACCCTGAAGAATGACAGGTCTGGCTGCAGGCTGGTTACCAGGTACAGTTTACTGGGCACCTCAGTCACTGTCCTGAGTGGTGTAGACCCAGCCACATGCGAAACCATAGGCAGAGAAAGAGCAGCCTCTCAGCCCCATGTAGGACCCTCACAGGAGCCTGCCTCAGGGCTCTTTTTGCCCTGCTTTGCTCAGGGTCTGGTTCCTGGGCTCCTAGGAGAGGAAGGCCCGCCCTCTTCTGGCCCAGATGCTCCCCAGAGAGGTCTCCAGCTGAGCTGCCTGACCTTTGGTGGCCGCTTTTGCTCCTCTGGGACCTCTCTGGCTGCAGGCCCTGAAGCCAAAGCTCTGACTGCCACTAATGTTTTTGACCTCCACTGAAGTTCGGCTTCCTCCCCAAAGCTCTAGGCTTATGCTTAGACCCCAGGCAACAGGCTCTGACTGGGGTCACACACACCCACTTCTCGCCAGCCGTTCTGAAGAGCTGAGCTCCAGTCACGTGCCAGGGCAGTAAGAGAGCAGAGGGCGTTATCTTGTGAGGAAGCAGACGTGGTCTTGAGGAACAGGGCCAGGGTCCTGGGACAGGCCCAGGGACCGCCCACCGAACTCCCAGCTCTTCCTTTACCCATCCTAAGAAAAGATCTCTTTAGTCTCCAGTACAGAGATGACATTTCCCTCTAGTCCCAGTTCTATCTCCCTGAGGAAGGAAAGATGGGAATCCTGAGTAAGGAGAGAGGGAATGAGCATGGCGGGGAGTCCCAGGAAGTGACTGAGGAGCTGGTCACTGGAAGGGAGGAGGCAAGAAGAGCAGCTCTATCCTGAACTGGCTCCAGGACACCCTATGCCATCCCCATACCTCGAGCTTCTTGGCACCCCCTCCTCCGCGAGCCCCAACTTTAGTACCCACCACCATCCTTGCTCCATCTTCCGAGAGGCTCTTCGCTCCCTTTCCTCCCTGCCCTCCACCCTAGACCTGCCCCTCTCCTGTGCTCTGTTCCAGCTAAGCTCTCACCTTCTCCGGGAGCGCCCACCTTGCATTGCTGGTGACCCTACTGCTCCCAAAAGCAAAGATCTGTCTTCATAGAGTTTGCTTCTGTGCTCCTTAAAAAAATTTTTCCAGCTCTATACCACCTTGCACGTCTTTCGAGTTTGTAGCTAGGATTTTTCGTCATGTTTAAATCAATGCAAAGGGTGTCATTTCTGAAATGTTTTAGATATTGCAACATTTTTAAACAAAACTGCAAATACTCTCTTCTTTTGTGTCTTTTGGGGTTTTTTTAGGTTTTTGTCATAGGGTATGTGCACTCACTGGAGAGACAGAGAGAATAAGGGGGAGGAAAGTGAGAGATCACCCCCCAGGGGGAACAGCCACATCACAATCCCTTTTTCTCTATTTTCCTCTTGGGATTTGGGGCATGCACGTACATGCACCTGACATGATTCTCAAGACGCTGGATCTAGGTCTGTGGTCAGCCATGTGGGAGTCCAGCACCTTAACCACCATGCCACCTGCTAGTCTCAATACTATTTTAAATGTGTGTTTAATTAAATCTAAACATCACAGCAGCTTGATGCTCATCATTCATTTAAAATAAATATATCTGATGGAACAAGCCCACACGCCCTAAAACCAAACCTCTATCTCCCCCCAAAAATATCAACAAAACTGTTGATTCAGAGAAAAAATTAACAAAATACAAAAGCCCTTAGCTAAAATAACTAAGTAAAACAGAGAGGACTAGGGGCTGGCTGGTGGCATGGTGGTAAAAGGTTCTGAACTCCCACATTGCCGACTATGGTTCAAATCCCGGACTTACTTTCTCACTTTCCCTCTCTTTAGTCAAACTAGAAAATAATATAATAAATGAAGTTAAATAAAATAATTATTTTTTTAAAAGAGAGAAAGAGAGAAAGTAGGGACTCAGTGCTACTCATGCCCCTTTCATGGAGTCACAGTGAGAACTGAATGAGACCTACTACGTGCCTGGAAGTTGACTCTGAGTCTGAGTCTGAGCTACAAGGACCCAGAGATGGTGATGAGTGGGTGGCCTTCGACCCTTTATGGAACAGGAGGGAGGGAGCTGCTGACCCTGGCCCGACCGTGATCCAGGGTTCCTGAATCTTTCCTGCTCCGCCTTTGGGGTTTCCCTATGGGATTCCTCCTTGCCTAGGGGCCAGGGCAAAGACCAAGGCCAGAGAAGTTTCCATGGAGTGTAAGATTTTAATGAGCATCACCACAAAGGGACTGAGTGAGGGAGATACAAACTCCAAATCTAGCCTTGGTACCATTACTTCAGTGGCTCGGCAGAGGGCGGAGGCTCAGCCCTGCTAGGCTCTTTCCCAGACTCAGGCAGCTGGAGGGGAAGCCCAGGACTTTCCTCTCTCCCCAGCAGAGGTGCTGAGGAAAGGGGAGGACTCTCTGTTCACGCTGCCCTCGGAAGCAGGACGCCCTCAAGCAGCAAGCTGACCTCTGAGGTCAGGACGGACCAGGATCAGGCAGGAATTTCAGATCTTGGATGGACAACTGGACTGAACGAGGGAGGAGACTCTTGGGGTCTCCAACAGCATTGAGATCTCGCAGAGAGGCCCTCAGGGAGGCACTCCAGACTGAGACTCACAGGAGAGCCTCTGTTCAGCAAGGGTCAGAAGGGAGGACAGGGCCCTGGTGGGCAGAGGGGGCGGAGGAGGGGCCCCAGGAAGGACCTCAGGGTGGTGGGTGGTGGCTGGTGGCTGGTGGGAGGGGTCCTCTAGCTGCCCTGCTGCTCCTGTTGGCGGACGAGATTGGCGATGGGGCTGGTGATGCCGCCTATCAAGGTCCAGTACTCGTCGAAGCTGATGCGGCCATCATGGTTCGCGTCCAGGTTCTGTATGAGCTTGTCGGCGGCCTTTCGGTTCCCCGTGTCCTGGGAAGGAACGGGAGTCAGCAATGCCCCCCTAGAGCCCCACTTTCTAGCCTGGGCAGCTAGTCCTTGGAAAGTGCCTGTGGAGCCCTCACTGGCAAGGACAGAGGCTCAAGGGAGGGTGGAGGGGAGGCAAGGCCCGGGGGTAGGGGCTCACCGTCAGCATGTGGTTCAGCTCCTTCTGGAGCATCTTGCGGAAGCTGCTCTTGCTGATCTTGTTCTTGACCAGACTGTGCTTGGACACATATTTGTAGAAGTTCTCCACCAGGACGACCACCGCCTTCTCCAGCTCCGTGTAGCAGTCCGCCATCTCACCTCACCTCCTCCCAGGGCCTGGGCAGCAGGAGGGGAAATGAGATTCCACAGGCCAACCCCCCCATGCCTTCCTGGGAGGGTGGGGGGCAGGCTGGTAAAGGAGGAGGGAGGGGAGCACAGGTAGACTGGGGGTAGCCCTGGAATGACAGCTATGTGGCTCCACTAATCCCGATGCTCCCAGCCCAACCGCCCCAACAGGTTCTGGGGGCCCTTCCCCAGCCCCAGGCACCTGCTGTCAGAGCCTCAGAGGGAGCAAGCGGCTCCGTGGGAAGAAGAGGAGAGTCACTGCCCTGCCCTCCCCACCCTGCTCCACGCCTGGCCCACCCAAGGCCCCTGCCCTGGAGCAAGCACAGCCAGGAACCTCTGGGATGGGCCAAGGGAAATGGGGGCAGGGGCTATGGTCTCCCACTCCAGGACAGGCTTCCCTAACCTCCCTGTCAGCTTCAGGGCAGTGAGTCCAGGGTCTCAGGCCATGGCTGCCCCCTCCAGAAAAGGACAAGGCCCTGACCCATCAAATCTGATTCTGTGCAGCCCTCTACCCAACCACAGCCTGCTAGCCGCTCCTTCATCCCCACCCCTAAATGTACAACAGGACCCAGGACCCCAAACCCACCCGTTACCTAAGGAAGAGCCAGGCCCAGTTCTGCCCCAGCTGGAGACGGACCCTGGACACAGCCCTGGACACAGCGGCAGCCTGCCAGAGGCCACATGCGTCACCCCCTCACCCCAGGACAAAAGGCACTCACATTCCAAGCGGATACAGCGACTGAATAACAGGATATGAGGGGAGCAGGCGGATCTGCTCTGGATCTACTCTGTGAGTCGCCGCCCATGCCCAGAGCCCCCCCAAGTCACCCTGGGCAAATCAGACTCCCCTCCCACCCCCAAGCCAGGAATGAGCTCCAGCCGTCCTCACCCTGCTGGTCCTGGAGCGGAAGTGGACACAGCAGGGACACAGGCCCCTCAGAGCCCCAACAACCCACAGTCTGGTGGAAGGGAGGTCATTTCGCCAGGCCCCAGCCCAGACGCCTGCTCCTGCCACCTGCTTCCTAACCTCCAGGGGGCCATCCCTGCTCCCAGGCAGTTGCCCTGCCCTCTCTGCCCAGCTGAAGCCTGCCTTCACTCCAGGCCCTGCCCAAACTGGGCCTCCTGCCTTCCGCGGGAAGCCTGCCCTGACCCCTGCCCTGGCGCCCTCTTCCCCAACTCCCACAGGCCTGTCTGTCTTCACGTCTCAGCACTAACCAGGGCCCTCTCACTGGGGGGGCCACCGTCTCTTCCCGAATCTTGTCTGGATTCTTGAAGCAAGCAGAGTGTTTCATACACACAGCCACTGTGTTTTCTCAGCCACACAACAGGACTGGACGACTTTGGGACATGTTTTTTAGTCTGGGATATATGACCTTCCTGTATTTGATCTGCGTCTCCTCTAGCCCGCACTGGCCCAGGGGCCTGCTCAAGGTAGATCTCTGAAAAGTACTCCACCTCTCGCCAGCACTGACACCAGGTATCCAAGGCCCCAACCACCTTTCTTCTGTCCCTCCTCCTCTTCCTCCCTTCTTTCTCTAATTTGCTAGAGGGCATGTGCATTCGCTAGAGAGAAACACAGAGAAAGAGACAGGGAAGAGGAGAAAGCACTTCCCTCCCCATGGGGAATAGTCATGCTGTGTCTCTCCCTCCTTTCAGTATTTTAGGCAGGCACCCACACAGGCCTGGTGGGTTTTCTTTTCTTTCTTTCTTTCTTTTTTTTTTAAAGAGGTTTTTGCCTCAGGGCATGTGCCCTCACATGGGGGGTGGAGACAGAGGGGAAAGTAAGAAATCACCCCCCCCCAGGGAAGACACTGCAATTTCTTCTCCTCTATCCTCCTCCTGGGACCTTGGGCATGCATGCACACGCGCCTCACATGATTTTCAAGCCACCGAGTTCAGGACTCAGACTGGTCAGCCACGTAGGAGTCCAGCGACGTACCGCTATACCATCTGCTGGGCCCGACCTGGTGTGTTTTTCAAGTCACCAGGTCCAGGACTCCAGTCACGCCGTCAGCCATGTGAGATCCAGATGTGTTAACCGCCAGGCCACAGGCTGACCCCTACCTTTCCTTTCTACCTTTTCCTTTTTTCTTTTAAATGAAGTTCCTCTTGAAGGAAAGGTGAGACTGGTAGAGGCCAGGATGCGAGAAGGAAGGAGAGTTGAGAGGGGTCAGGCTGGGCATTTCTGACGGGAAATCTGCCTGCCCTCTGCCTCCCCCGCCTGACCACTCTGGTCTGTGGTTGGAAGGATGAGCTGCACTAGCGACTGCAGGCGACTACCCTGCGTCATGCTCCATTTGTCAGTGCAGAACCGTGTGGTTCAACGTTGGTACAAACTCTGTAACACTCACAAATGAGGAGGGAGAACATTTTTCAACCCATGACCTGTCCTCTCTGCAGCTCTCAACTGCAGGGGCGGCCCAGACCCATACCAGTGACCCTGGGGATTCTGAAAACGGTGCCCATTTCAGGAAGGACTGTGCCAAGCCCACATCCCACCAGGTCTGGGAAGTAAGGAGAGCATTCAAAGAACCCCACCATAAATCATTCCAGACCTCGTTCCCTAAGTGAGGAGCCCCGTGGGAAATAGGGAGAGGGAAGAGACGAGAAGTCTGTGCTCTGGCTGGTGGGCTTCAGTCCCTCTGCCCCCGGCCAGCCCACTTTTCCCACTTCTTAGAGTCTTTTTGGGTTTTTTTTTTAAGAGAAATTTTTTCTATAGAGTGCATGTGCTCTTGGAGACAGAGAGAGACAGGAAGCGAGAAATCACTTTCCTGGGGGGATGGCCATGCTGTAATCCCTTCTCCTCCATTCTCCTCTCAGGATTTGTGTGTGTGCATACACACACACACACACACACACACACACACACACACGCCCACCCTGAGTTTCAAGCCACTGGGTCCGAGATTTGAACCGCAGTCCACCATGTGGGAGTCCAATGACATAACCATTATGCCATCTGCTGGCCCCTGGAGTCTTATTTCTCTAACCACGGGTGCCTCTCTGCCCGCCCTCAATGCCATGCCCTAGGCACTACCTGGCCTCTGGCAGCAAACAAATAGTCAAGGCAGGAGGAGGCTTGAGGGGCCCAGCAGCCTACTGGCAGGGGTGCTGGGTGACCTGGAGAGGCTCCCAGGTCCTCTTCCCAGTAACCCACCCACTCCCCGCACCCCTGCCTTCTTGTAAAATGGGCAGCATTGGAGATAGCCATCTGGACAGGTGCTGTTCCGAAGCTGTCTCTGAAGGGAGGCATCAGAGCAGGACAATCAGGTGTCATTACCTCTTCCTCCTCCCTCCCCTGGGGGCCAGGAGATGGCTCAGCCACCCCCTCACCCAAAGCCACCTGCTCCTCCTGCTTCCCCCACCCCTCCAGGCTAAGCCATGGGTCCCCAGATCTGGGGGGAGAGTGGGGGAAGGCAGGTGTGCGGGAAGTAGTTCCAGTGTTGACTTTGCCACAGGAAGATCCTGGTCTGAGAGCCCTGGTGGGGGCAGGGGCAGGAGCTGGACAGTGTACACTGGGGCCTTCCGAGAAGTGGGAGTGGGGAAGAGGGGCTACCACTCATCTGTCCCCCAAAGGGCAGTCTCACCTCAGCCCCCCCCAGGGTTCTCATTGTCTTCTGGCTGATTCATCATTAAGCAACCGGGGAGGCTCCCGCCCCCACCCCGCCCACCTCACCCCAGCTTGCTGACTTCTCCAAAAGCCCAAACTGCCCCTGGATCTCAGCCATCCCAGTCTTGCCCTCCCCTCCCAGGTTCCGGCCCCACCTCTCCAAGTGCCTCCCAACCACCCCGACCTCCCCAGCCCCCTGCAGTCCTGAGCCCCCAATGCCAAGGCTACCTCTGAAGTTCACCTCCTCTTCTCACTCCGCGAGCACCCCTCTTGAGTCTGGAATTGTTTCTAGGTGCGGAGGCCAGGCTGATCCCCAGAACCCTAGCCCTCCTAGTTGCTGTTCTCTCCAGAGCCAGTCCCCTCTCAAGCTTGAGTGTGGCTTTCTCTGTGTCCCTTCCATCTCTCTCAAATTCATTCCCTCCCTTAGTCACTCTCCACTTGCTCGCTTGGTCATGTATGCAGTCGCATATTCACGCCCATTCATTCCCGCGCTGTGCAGTAACGCATTCATTCTCCACTCATTCATGTATTCGGTCCCTTCTTCATGGGCTCTCTGCCCCACTGCCTTCCACACGCAGGAAGGTGCGCTCTGAGCTGGGCTGCTGATGCTCTCTCTGTTTACAAAGCTGCTTCCCAAATATCTTCCCAGCTCCCACAGCTGTTGCTGCCCCTGGTCGCTCCTCTCCCAGGTACCGGCCTAATGCTCACAGTTGCCCCTGCCTCGGCCCGCCCTACTCCCAGGACTCACTGCATCACATTCGCACACAGCCAGGAACGCTGCCGTTCTGATGCCCTCTGCCTGTGTAACCCATCTACCCTAATCCGCTTCTGCTTGCAGAGCAAGAAGCCAGTGCCTCTCAATTTTTTCCAGTGAAGTTGGAGGACTTTGGTGTGGACACACAAGCATAAACACACACACACGTGTGCGTGCATGCACACAATGACCCCTGGCCACACCAACACTCAGAGAGCTCTTCGCACCCCTTCCCTCGCCCCTAGCCTGACTGGGCTGGGCAGGGGAATGCTCCCATGGCAGGTGGTTCTGCCAAACAAAGCAGGTCAAGCCGAGACCTGCTTGGGTCCTGAGGTGAAGCTGCCGAAGTTGGAGGTTCAGCCTCTCTCCCTCTCCCGGAAGCTCTCAGATTCCCCCAGGGCCTCACCCAGGTCCCTCCTGGATCCCATGGTCCTTCACAAGGAACAGCTCCCAGAGCACAGTGGGGCTGAGTCTGTTGGGGGGGGTCCTTTGAACTAGATGAGAAGCCACCTTAATCCCTGCTTTCTCCTCCCCAGGTTCCCAGGCCCCCTGGGCCCTCCCTGGCTCCTCCTGGACCCCATCGCCTCTCCCTGGACAAAGGCCCAGAGTCCAGTGAGGCCCCTGTCCAGGGTCCGGCCGCCCCCTGCCCCCACCAACACGCAGTCACCCTTTTCTGTTTGGAGAGAATCGAGCAGCTGTGGCGAAGCTCCGGAAGGCTCTGCCTGGTGGCCCAGCCGCTGGAGAGGAGCCAGGCAGCTGCTGGGCCAGGAGGGGTCTCGCCACCCTGTCCAGTCCTCTGAAGGCCTCACCCAGCCCCCAACTCCACCAGGACTCCCTACTCCTAAACTGGCCTTTGGAGAAAGTTAATGATCAATCTCCCTGGCCTGTCTCTGGCAGGCCCCTCTCCTCAGGCCCCCTTCTCCCAGCCTCCCAGCAGCGGGCTCGTCCTGTCCGCAGGCCCAGACTTCCCAGGCCAGGGCCGTGGGCACTCACCTGCCTCCTTGGTCCACCTCCTCTCCAGCAGGGCTCTGGGACCCGGGCTCTGGCACTGCCAAGCAGTTCCCTGCTCAGCCCAGCTGGACTCCTCCCCGCTGCACTCCCAGAATCTGTCCCACTCCCTCCCGGCCCTGCCTGGCTGAGCTGGCTCGGTGGGGAGATAGTGACTGAGCTCCCTCTTGACTTGGCCCTAGGGTTGGGCCCTTGTTAAAGGGATACACACCTTTTTTAACACCCCTCTTCCCCCACCCTGGAGGGAGTGGTGGAAGCTGACACTCCCCCCCCAACCCCACCCTCCAACCTCACAGGGCCTGTGCTGAAAGACAGGGTGGAGAAAGGAAGGGAGGGACTGTCACCTCGCCCTTCCCACCTGGGTCACTGGGATCCCAGTTTCAGGCCCCCCAAAGGCCAGCCTGACTGGTCACAGAAATATCCTTGCGGCTGGGATTTCAGGAGTCACACTCCTGTCAGAAGGTAGGGTCCCTGGTCTGCCATCTCCAGTTCAGCCCATTAAGAGCTCTCCTGCCACCCATCCTTAAAACCCTCATGGACCGGAGAAGACTTCTCTGGAAATTCCTAGCTTTCCTGAAGATACTCAAGGAAACTGCCCTGCCTGACCTCCTGGTGCTGGGACAGCAGACCGGGGACCTCTGCTCTCTCTAGTAGCAATGGCTTCCAATCTTGGCACTCAGCTCTGGCTCAGGCTCTCTGATAAGTACTTTACTACGGATGATCCTCCTAGCAAGCCTGGACCTGGAACTGAAGCACCATTGCTATTCCCGTTTTACAGATGAGGAAACCGATATTCTAAAAGCATACCCAAGAGTTCCAAGAAAGTAAGTGGCAGAGCTGGGATTCAAACCCAGGCCACTGAGCCATTGCTCAGCCTCACATTTCCTTGCTATTGGTCAAGCAGGCAGCAGGACACCTGGGTTCATATCCTTTCTCCCAGATGAATGCGCACGCCCCATCTCCTGTCAAAGGGCCAGCCTACTGGCAAAGAGGAGCTTGTCCTTCTGAGAGGACCAGGTCTCCCACCTCCTGAGCCTGGTGCCACCCTCAACCCAAACCCATGGAGAAAAATGAGTCCCCATCCACTTCCACTGCCAGGCACAGCAGCACGCATGTCCCGACCCACCAGTAACTGCCATTCACCCAAGCACCCCCAACCTATGGCCCGTGGATGAGGGACTGAACAATCAAGACAATACATTTCACTTTTTCCAATTTTTTATTAATCAAAAGATACAAAACAACCATCATTCTGCAAACGCCCAAGCACCCAGCTGCCCCTTTCACCCTAAAATCCTCTTTCACCCTCCTTGCCCTCTCCCTGACCCTGCCCTCTCACCCTAGCTCAGGGATGGCCCAGGGTCAGAGCCCTGGAAGGAGGCTGGAGCAGGGCTGGAGGCAGGGAGGGCAGCACTGGATGGACAATGACAATTGGAGGGAAGAGATTAGGAGGGGTAGGTTCTCAGACACCTTTTATCCAGCCATGTTTCCAGCCCCATTCTTCAAATCATTTCCCACAGCCCAGCCCCTCTCTGTCCTACCCCCACTGCCAAATTACTTAGCCTTATACCACCCCGATCCCTCAATATCCATCCTTGGCCCCAACCTGTCCCTCCTTCTGTGGGCGACTCCTGGACCCAGGAGCTCCGTGGTATACCCAGGGGAGGGAAGTGCAGAGACCCCTGGGGAAGGGGTTATGAACTGGGACTTTGCAGAGGTGAGAAGAGGTGCGGGCTGAGGAGCAGGGTGGTGGTGGTGGTGGTGGTGGTGGTGGTGGTGGTGGAGAGGAATTGTATTTCCAGGCCCACAGTCTCTCCCGGCCACATCCCCCCAATAATTCCAGGAGGGGGCTCTCAACACCCGGGCACAGGGCTCTCGAGCTTCACACTCTTGGCTGGTTCTCCC